GATATTATATAATAGCTGCTTTTTTGAACATTTTAGCAATTTAAAAATATTAAAAAAGGATTTTTTACACAGCACCCCTGCTCTCGACAGACGGCACCCCGGTTGGGAAACACTGCTCTAGCTCATAAACTGGCCTTCTTTCGCCACCTACTCTGTGCCTCCTCTCCACTATGCCCCTTTCTTTGGGCTTCCTAATGAGACAACATTTGGTGTATTTGCAGTGTTAGTCTATAAATAGCAACTGTCATACTAGTCTTAAGTACTTACTTTTTATATTTTTATTATTCTTTTTTTTTTATTTTACCTTTATTTAACCAGGAAATTTAAAAACTCTTAAGATTTAAAATTTCATTTACAAGAGGGTCCTGGCCAAGATAGGCAGCACATATAGTTACACATAAAACAAAATACATTTGTTTACATACACAGAAACATACACAAATCACTCAAAACATTTGCAATCAGGTGACTCTACAAATAGATCCTTTAAAATACATTTAAAATCATTTAGTGATACCAACTCTTTTAAGCATAACTTATCTTGTAGTTGATTCCAATCAAATGGAGCAGCATAACTAAATACCCGTTGACCCAATTACTATTACATACATAATAGGCAGTTATTTTGTTGGTCTTTATTCTTCTAATGTAGTTAGTTCCAAACAAAGTCACAAAAGAATCCATGGTTGTGTCTCTGAGCAGCTCAGACCATTTAGTGTTTTTGAAGAGAATTTGAGTGAATGATTCAAATTACTTACTGAAGAGAGTCACTTGTTTTGTTCCTGAATGAATAAGTGTTTTGAACAAATTGTTTGAGTGACTGATTCAATGACTCATTCATAAAAACAGTCACATGATTCATCGTTAAATTAATCAGTTGCGTGAATGATTCAACCGACTCTTTCATGAAGACAGTCACGTTTCACTCCTTAATGAATCAGTTTTGTACTATAATTCAGTTTAGTAAGTGATTAAATGGTTGAGTGACGCTTTCAGAAAGTCATGTTTTTTCCTGAATGAATGAATGTTTTTAATGAATCATTTGAGTGACTGATTCAGTGACTCATTCATGAAGACGGTCACATGTCTTGTTTATCAGTGAATCAGTGTTTTGTACAAATTGTTTTAGTGGCTCATTCAGTGATTCATTCATAAAGACAGTCACATATTTTGTTGCTGAATCATTTCTAGTTAATTAGTTTTGAACCGAGCCAAGTGATTAAATGATTCAATGTCTCGTTTACAATGACAGTCACATGTGATGTTCGGTTTTAAATCAATCAGTTCAGTGAATGATTAAATAATTCAATGATTCATTCATAAACACATTGTGTGTAGTACCTGAATAAATTCGTATTTTTTAATGAATCAGCTGAGTGAATGATTCCAATGACTCACTTATAAAGACAGTCACTAGTCGCCACCTACTGGTGTAACAACGTAAATACAAACTGTGAAAGTGTCAGTACTGTTGGACTGTTACAGCAGCACTGCTGGTATGCTGCTTGACTAGCTTGAAGGACCAGTATTAACTGTTGTATAATTTTAATTGTAATACATGAATGCCTTTTTACCCCGTACACTTAGGGGACATTTCTGTTCTATCTAATTTGTCCCATTTCCTCAAGTAGAACTCTAAACAACCAGTGTAAATATTAAAAAAATTGTTAATTCTCTGCAGTTCCATCAACAAGCTCATATTTTTTTTAACTGGCCCAGGGGAACAATTCTCTCAATTACTGATTCTTGGCACTGAAGGATCTACGTAAGCTTTAAATGTGTGTACGGTGAGCAAGAGAGTCATTACACGTCTGTAGAGCTGAAATGAGTCTTGAGCAGTATTAAAACAGCAATAAAGGAGGAGTGCTTTGTTGCTTAATATGGAGGACACTGTTGAGACAAGTATATGTTTATTGTGCTCATGATAATGGGTTTAACAGGTGGAGCATTTATGTGCTGTACATGTTTTAAAATCTTTTAGAGTATCCTACAATATTTTCTTATTCCTCTGTTTGTCCCTGTCTTTCTCTGTCCAGGCTGGAGGGAAGCACTACCACCCCACTTGTGCTCGCTGTGCCAGGTGTAAGATGACGTTTATAGAAGGAGAGGAGATGTATCTCACAGGTGAGGAGAGGTTACAGAGGCCAACAGCCGACACTTTCCATGAATAGGGTGCAAAGTAGGGCCTGAAACTCTTCCAAATAAGGATGTGATTTTTTTTTTATTTTTCAACAAATGGTCAGTGAAAGTTGCTTAACTTTCAGAAAATGGTGATTGTCAACCTCAAGTGGTCGAACTACAAATTATATGAGCTGTTTTATTTTCTATTCATTTTCTATGAGCTTTGCAATTACTTAAATGTGGAAACGTCTAACTATAGTTTTAAACACCTAGTTTAATTTTTTTCTAACAATGAACATTAAAAATAGATAAATATATAATATAATATAAATATATATAATATATTTAAAATTAAATACAATTTTAAGATTTCTAAAATTAACAAATAAACTTTATGGAATGAGATAACATCAAAATTGAATGAGATAATATACCTGATTTACTGCAATTTAGAAAGTGTCCAAATAATAATACTTCTTGAGTGTCTCTATTTAAAAGTTATATTATTGGGTGGGGGGCATTGGGCATGAGCCTTCCATAATGTGTATACATTAACATGAGAAATCTCAAATGTCTCAGGTGCCTATGGGATTTGCATTGATGAGCAAAGATCTTATGTCCCAGACAACTGAACACAGAAATTAAAAAGCAGGCACTCATTGACATACAGAGAAGTAAGAGTATACAGCTACTGTATGACATTAAAGTGACTTTAGGAGATTTTTAAACTTTTCATTGCACACTTTGGCAATTCTTGTGAGAAACCTTGTGAAAGATGTTTTCTGAAATGTATGAGAGATTAAAAGGATTTTAAAAAAATTACTCAAAGTAAGTTACTCAAACAAAAATATCAAATTGCATTTCATTAAATCATGTTTTTGTTTAGAAAAAATAATTGAGATATTCATTCACAAGTTCATCCTTGTGACAGAGCAGATGAGCACTTTGCTTATAAAAGAGCTCTTTATAGAATATTCCATGACAATCTTTCAATACTAGCTTCATTTCCAGACCATCATGAACAATATGCAAGATTCATGTGGGAGATAAAGGCTGTAGTGAGACTTTTATGAAGAAACTGATGTTGTTCCACAAAGAGTCACAAAGGCTCATCTTGATCTGTCTCAATGCCCCATTCAGTGGATTTCCTCTGTAGAATTGTGTGATCGCTCATATGACTTCCAGTGCCAGCAGCTGGCGGACATTAGAATGCACCGCAGGTCTTTCTCTGTGTTTGTCTGTTCTGTTTCACATTCAGCGCGGAGATGTGTAAGTATGTTACAGGCTAGCGAATACGTCTCGAGGTAAATGCATTTAAAAGTCAGCAGAGCCGGCTGTCAACACATTACTATCATGCAAAAAGAGAGAGGTACGTAGGGAACAAGAAAGGGAGAGAATGAGCCAGGCAGAGACAGAGCATCGGATTAAAAAACCCATTAATCTGAAATCAAAATACCACAGTTGAATGAATGCACTCTGGCCTTTCTTCTCATAGAGTCATTACATTAAATGTATTTGCCTTAGCTTGAGTTATCCATCTGCTTCCAAATCTCAAACTCACCACTAAGGTCAGGAGGAATGTGATTGGCAGGCAGGTCTAAGATGCCAAACTGAATAAAATGTACAATAAAAATCTCAGTGCAAGTCCATTAGGTCCACATTTTCTTCAAAAAAGCCATGGCGCCAGTGTCTACTCAAAAAATATTTTCAGTTTATAATATAAATCAGATTATGAATGTAGAAATATGATTTAAATCTTACCAATTAAAAGTTTGGGTTCAGTAAGATCTTTAAATGTTTTTGAACGAAGTCTCTTATTCTCACTAAGTCTGCATCAGCAGGAATGTGACTGGCAGGCAGGTCCAAAATGGCAAATTGAATAAAATTTGCAATAAAAATGTCATAGTGCAAGTCCATCAGGGACATTTTCTTCAAAAAAGGACATGGAGCCAGTGCCTACTCCAAAAAAAAAAAAAGAGAGAGATGACAGCGCAAAAAAAAAAAAATTTATTTAAAAAAAATAAAAAAGAGAGAGAATATATATATTCAGTTTATAAAATGTAGAAGTATGATTTAAATTTAATACCACTTTTATATCCTAATGATTAAAAGTTTGGGTTCAGTAAGATATTTTATTTTAATATGTTATGTTTTTGAAATAAGTCTCTTATTCTCACTAAGTCTGCATCAAAAAATACAATGAAATAGTAATATTTTGAAATATTATTACAATTTAACATGTTAGTGAAATGTTTTATTAGTATAAATGTTGAAACTGTGATAATCTTTTAACATCATTTATTTGAAATATTTTGTAACAATGTAAAGGTCTTTACTGTCACTTTTGCTCTTTTTAATGTATCCTTGCTAAATAAATAAAAAAAAATCTTACTGGTCAACTGAAATCCATGTGGTTTAATCTCATAATCCCACTTTTTACGTTTTAAATCAAGTCATCTTAAAATGTCTTGAATTAACACATGGCTGGATTAGAAGTTTTATGCGCTGTATCTAACGTTCTCCTCTTTGTTTGGCTCTGTTTCTCAGGTTCAGAGGTGTGGCATCCTGTGTGTAAACAAGCATCTCGAGCAGAGAGGAAACTGAGAGTAAATGTCTTTTTTTTAACAGTTACACACTGATTTTCAAAATTCCTGCAGATCTCACTCTGAAGCTCTTCTGTTTTCTTCCTTATTTTATTTTACAGCTCAGACGCACATCAGAAACCTCCATCTCTCCGCCAGGCTCTAGCATTAGTTCACCCAGCAGAGTCATCTGTGTAAGTAGCCATTCACTGTCCAGCTCGAAAGAAAACGACAGATCTGTAAATGATACAAAATCAGAACATTTGATTTTAAAATTATGATACTTTTTGTCATTATTTTGACATGTGTTCATGTTAATGTTAGGTACAATTTAAAGGGACAGTTCACCCAAAAATGAAAATTCAGTCACCTTTTATTCATTCAGTCATGTTGATCCAAACCTGTATGACTGTATTTCTTTTGTGGAATACAAAAACACTGTACAGTTATCACCAAATTACCAAATTTGATTATATAAATAATGACAGAACATCCATTTTTGAATGAACTGTTCTTTTATTGTTACAATATTTGACATACCCTGCCATGAAAAGTAGTGTAAAAGTAGTAAAAGTTTGGGGGGTTTTTTTTGAGAGAGAGAGAGAGAGAGAAGTTCACCCAAAAATGAAAATTCAGTCACCTTTTATTCATTCAGTCATGTTGATCCAAACCTGTATGACTGTATTTCTTTTGTGGAATACAAAAACACTGTACAGTTATCACCAAATTACCAAATTTGATTATATAAATAATGACAGAACATCCATTTTTGAATGAACTGTTCTTTTATTGTTACAATATTTGACATACACTGCCATGAAAAGTAGTGTAAAAGTAGTAAAAGTTTGGGGGGTTTTTTTTGAGAGAGAGAGAGAGAATACTTATACTTGAGCAAGGATGCATTAAACTGATTAAAAGTTACAGTAAAGACTTTTATAATGTTACAAAAGATTCCTATTTCACATAAATGCTGTTTTATTTCTTGGTTTGGTTTCCATAAAAATAGTGAGCAGCACAGCTTTTCAACATTGATAATAAGAAATGTTTCAAATCAGCATATTAGAATTATTTCTGAAGGATCATGTGGCACTGAAGACTGGAGTAATGGCTGCTGAAAATTGAGCTTTGCATCACAGGAATAAATTACATTTTAAAATACATTAAAATTGAAAACATTTATTTTAAATTATAAAAATATTTCACAATATTACAGTTTTTACTGTGTTTTTGATCATATAAATGCAGCCTTGGTGAGCATAAGAGACTTCTTTCAAAACCATTAAAAATCTTGTTAACCCCAAACACTGGATTGGTAGTGTAAAATGCCATGAAGATTCCTGTGGTTTCTCAACTAGTACATCATGGCACATGACAGTCACAGGTTTGATTTCCAGAGAATGCATGTACTGATAAAATGTATAGCTTGAATGCACTGAAGGTTGCTTTGGATAAAAGCATCTGTCAAATGCATAAATGTAAGTATTATTGGCCATCCCAAGATGGATGACTCTCGTGCTTGAGTTTATTGGCTTGTTCATAATGTGTTTGTGTGCGTTCTGCAGTGGTGCCGTCATTAACATCACATGTGGAAGTAAAGGCCAGCCCGAGTGTGTAACCTTTTTGCAGTGTGTGTGTGATTGATGTATGCATAACACATTGTAAGCATATACGCTGGCAAGCCCTGCAGCTACATACTCTGCTGAAGGTCAAGCGTGACACGTGCTGAAGGTCAAGCTGTACATCTGTGAGATTCAAATCGAAATGAAACCCTTAAAATACTATCTGGGATCATTGGTAAAGAAAGTCACCAATTAAAATGTTTTAAAGGGATAGTTCACTCAAATATGAAAGTGTGTCATCATTTACTCACCCTCGTGTCGTTCCAAATCAGTACAACTTTCTTTATCCTGTTGAACACAAAATAAAATGCTTTGTTAAACTGTTTTTGTCCATACGATGAAGGTCAGTGTGGTCCAAAACAACACTGGACCCTTACATAGTATGGAGGGGGTGGGGGGGCATGGAGACATTTTTCAAAATATATTTTTTGTTTCACTTAAGTAAGTAAGTCATACAGGTTTGAAATGACATGAGGGTGGGTAAATGATGATGGTTTTCATTTTTGGTTTAACTATCCCTTGAAATAGTATTTGGGTCATGTAGTTTATACATCCAAAATAAAAACAGAAACTTCAGTTTGCATGTTAACTTTATACTTATCCCACAAAAATGATGTCATAAGCAGTCTTATCAAATCCACTATGACATTTTTGTAGCATTTATGTGCTATATTACAGTTTCAATAATGAGCTCAATTGTATTCTAACGGCACTTGCTTTAAAGTGTGCCAACTGGGCTTATTCCCACACTTAATTGTATTGTTAATGTTGCTGTCGCCTGTCATCATTGCTGTTTTTTTCAGGCCTGCCCATTGCATTTGACGTGTGAGTGTGTGTATCTGTCACGTGTCCCTCCTCCTCAGGCAAAAATGGAGAACGAGATCCTTGATTACAAAGACTTGGCGGCGCTACCTAAGGTTAAAGCCATTTATGAAGTGCAGAGGCCAGACTTCTGGTCCAATGAGCCCAGTCACAGATACTGCTCCGATGACAGGCTAGAGCGTCTCAGCTTTGGGGAGGTACTGCCCTAGAGGACCACTAGAGCCACTCTGGGTCGACTTTTAGCATGTCTCCCCCTGTTGCCGTATCTACTGGCCTGGTCCTAGCCGAGCTTAGCTTTGAGTTTCTCATCTATGTTGCATCCGTTGGCTGGCTGTATGCTTTTGTTTACTGAAGCACTATGTTGTGCCTTTCTCCCACTATTAATAGTGAATATGAATGCTTTTGGTTGAGCCACCTTGCTTTAGTTTGCTTTTGGAAAGCTCTCTGAAAAACGCTAGCAATTTGTGTGATGTTGCTTAAATGGACAGTTTACCCAAAACTTCGCAATTCTATCATTTACTCCCCCTCGAATTGTTCTAAACCTGTATGTTTGAGGAACACAAAAGGAGATGTTTAGCAGAATGTCGATGCTGCTCTGATTTTTACATTGAAGCGAACTGTGACCACAAGCTACTTAATAATTTTGTTTGTAGTATATAGAAGAAAAATCATAGTTTGGAATGACATGAGACTGAGTAAATGATAGGATGAACTATCTATAGCTGGGTGAACTATCTCTTGAATTTATGTTTGCTGAGTAGATAATGTTGAGTTCTACAGTTCTGCAGGAGATGCAAAATAGGTTGGTCTGATCACAGTGGCTCCTTCACCTCCGTCCTCTTGCTCTTTTCACTCCCCTTACACATCAGATGTCATGGAGGAAGAGACTGAAGGTTTATCTCTGATTTACTGTTGTACTCACTCTCTCCTTTTTTTGTCTCCACAGTCTTTGGGCACACTCTCCCCTTATTCTCAGGTAAAAGTTTTGACTCAAATTTACTGTGTTAAGTCCACAGCAATATATTTTGCAACCAAGCTATCAATCTGTCTAAAGTAGATTTAGCACGTAAGTGTGTGATTAAGTGTGTTAAATTGACAGTTGTTGCTCTATGAATCATTTTGGTCACTGAGTAAATACAAATGAGAGATTCTCACAGTCATAGTTATGAATAATGACATTTGATGTGACTAGGACATGTATGACAGTATGGACATGAGGATGAGAAGATCCTCCAGTCCGGGGTACATAGACTCCCCCACCTACAGCAGACAGGGCATGTCTCCCATCATGCCCCGCTCTCCACAGCACTACTACAGATACGGTGAGTCCCTGCTGCTGAGCAGAAACAAATACACTCTCATCCCTGATTTATGGGATGCTGGTGTAACCAGCTTGCGGCTTCATCAGAAAACTATGCAAGTTGACCAGCATTTCTTGCTGGTAAACTACATGGATAGTGGACCAGCACTAACCAGCTTGAATCAGCATACTGGTCTAAGCTGGTCTTTTCAGCAGGAATGGCTTGAGAACTATACTGAATATGCAGTATAGTGGAAAATATACTATATATTTCTTGCTTTGCCTGTATACATAAAATTGTGGTTTGCCGTTATATAGCAAGGACATTGAACAAAAGTTCAAAACCTTTTGCAAGAGTATTGTTACTGGGGTAGTACCCTTGCATTTAGGTACTAATATGTACTGTACATTTTAGGTACTGATATGTACATTTAAGGTATCAGTATGCATCCTTTATGGGTAAATAAGGTACACAGGTTTACCTTTTGAAAAGGTACCACTCCAGTACAGCTTTTGTATCTTTTTTATGAGAGTGTAGTGACTGATGTTGAGTACTGATAGTGATTTTAAAGTCAGCATGAAATGATATTCACAACCTCTGTAATGTGATTTATTTACAAATAAAATGGGACGTTCAGTGACAAAAGAGAAAGGAGAAGTGCTATTTTAGTATTATTTAGATACTATTATAGTATTTATTCGTATTTTGAAGTACCTTTTATTTTTATATTTTGTTTTCATTTTAATTTGTTTGAGTAATTTTGTCATGTTTTTATCATTTTATAATTTTTTATATTTCTATTTATCTTTATTTTTATTTCAGTTGTAGTTTGCTAGTACATTTAGTACTTCAACTTCAACTTGTTTTATTTCAGTTAGTCACCAATGCAACATTTGTGATTATTTTATTTTGTTTCAGCTTTATTTCAATTAACGGAAATATATTTTAATTTATTTAACAATATCAACACTGGGAAAGACAGTACTTTATTCATCTGGAATTGATTGGATCTTAAAGTTGTGATGTGACCCAAAAATTATTCAATTTTGATTAAATAAATTTTTAAAATAATGAGATTGTGATGAATTATTTACAACAAGAGCACAATAAGAGATTTCATGTTGACTTTAACTAAAATAAGCTTTATAGGCTTTTTATGTGGGATATGTTTGGTTGTTATTTGGGAGTGTGTCCCGCCATTCCACCCACATCCTATGCACCCCTCTGTCTGGCACAGTATGTCTTTTCTTCTGTTTTGAAATGCATACTGTCCCTGCCTGGCTAATCTTGGATCATTGATCTGATGATCGCCGGTGTGATGATTGAGTGTGTGTGGTTAGGGCGCACAGGAACTGTGCACTCATGCTCTGGTTCTGTTACTGTCATTGGCTTGGGGCTTGCTACAGGCACTGAGAGTGGCAGAAGTTCACCCTATTACAATCAGCTAGATGCCCGGTCCAGCACGCCCACCACAAACCAAGCTCCCAAGCATTTCCATGTGCCAGGTAGGCCAGGCCTCGACATTCACCTCATTGGCTGCTGTCATCATTGTCATATTCATCCAGCAGTATATATGAATGTAAATTAAAGTCTTGTTAATGGATCAAAGTCTCTGTAACTGTTGAATATGTCTATGCTATACATCTGTAGTATGGCTGTACTCCTTTTTTGTGTTCTCTTCAACCCTTCCACTCTCCTCCACCTTACCCTAAAGGTCCCTGGAAGCCTGAAAAGGAAGAACAAAAAAGCATTTCCTGCCCCGTTTACTTTGCTTTCTTCTGCCTGTCACTTACATCTCCTCCATGTTTTATTTCTAATCTCTCCCTTTCTTCCCAGCCACAGGGGAGCCCAACATCTACAGGAAGCCTCCCATCTATAAGAGACATGGTATAGTGTACTCGGCCTGCTCTGGCCTGTTTTCCCTCACGCTCAGTCCTGAGGCTGTGTGGGCTCATGGGAAAGATGTGTCTGATTAGTGTTAGTGTCATCCATAGCTGTCCTCCAGCAAACCCTTTAGTCTAAAAGACTTTAAGAGTCGTGAGCAAATGAGGAAGAAAAACAGCTCATATTAAATTACTAGAGGATTTGGCGTGCACAAATGAAGTATATACCATGGTACACATGTTAGAAGTAGCTTAATACAGTTGCAAGAACACTTATGTGAACCTTTTTGGATTGAACTAGTATTCTGTATAAATTGGTCATTGAATTTGATCTGATCTCTGATATAAATCATAACAATAGATGAATACGGTCTGCTTAAAAAAATATTAGACAAACTGTTATACGTCTTTCCATCTTCAGTGAACCAGTGCAAAATAGAAAAAGTATGCAAATACTTATATATAAAGTAAATGCTTTTTATATAACTGCCACACGTTTTCTATAATTGCAGATCTGCAACAGTCAGGATAAATTTTGCCTGTTTGTTTAAGCAAACTGTGTTTATCTACTATTTTATGACCGATATATTAAGAAAATCATGTAAATCAAATGGATTCACATTCTTTATTTCTTGGAACTGTATGTCTTAGGTGAAAAAAGGATAAGAAATTGTCCTTTCTGCTCAAGCATCAGAGTGCATCCTGCTTTCCGTTTCGTGCATGACAGAAGAATGTAGAACTGGCACGAGCGCATCCTTGCTTCTACAGGAGGGTGATGAAGAAAGGATGAGGCTTGCTGAGGCATGGTTAAAACTTGCCATGCCCCCCCTCTGCTTTAGATCGACTGGGAAGTGACCGCATTTGATGCCACAGAGAAGCCCCACTGAAGTTACGCTCAACCCTGTTGAGAAACCGCTGTTAGGAAGGCAAACCTGTTTAAGCATGAAATGAGCAAGCGTGAAAGTCTAAACATCCTACGGTAGTTCACAGAGTTCAAATGGCTGCCATATTGTTTCTGATAACACACTGAATGTTACATGTACTGTAGGGACTAGGTAAGTCCCTACACTACTTCTGTTAGTTATTTGGTGGCAAATCCTTTGATAGATTGTTGTTTATGTGCATATCTCTGTCTGTTCATTCATAAATTTGCAATCTCACAACTTTTTGTCAAGTACATTGGTTAGTATGTCCTCAAAATGCCATGAACTCTAACCCTTTAACTCAACAATAGTAATAGTACATCTTTCCCTTAACTGCATGTCTCTGTGTGTGTATTTATATGTGTGTATTCTGTATAAATGTGCATTACAGACTTGTGCCATTTTCCGTATGATTAATTATGATCCTTGTTTTTGATTATAACAAAATAATAAATAATAACATTATACCTGATATATTTTAAAGATAATAAAGTGGGTTAATGGGTAATAAAGGGCTCAACATTAAGGATTTTATCTGGGCTCAACAGTTCAGATTTTTTGCCATGCCAGTGTTTTCACCCCACCAAAAAAGTTATGTATTTTCATGTAATCCAGAAAAATATTATTTCATACTTTATGTATTTTTGTCAGGAACAAAAAATGAAGGATAATAATAATAATAATAATAATAATGATGATGATGATCAGTGTTGGGGTAGCGCATTACAAGTACCATAATCAGATTACTTTTTTATGTAACTAGTAATGTAACGTATTACTTATAAATTTGCAATGAAATGTCTGAGTTACTTTTTCAAATAAGTAACGCAAGTTACTTTGCTTTCCCATTTATTCACTGATACCTTATTAATATCACTTTTGGTGTGAAAGGGCTCTTACAGTTACCCAAAATATAACTTTAGTGTTTTTTGTTATTAAAAAACAAATAAGCATGCCCAACCCAACTGACAAAAAGTAACACAAAAGCAATGTAGAGCAATACTTACCATAAAAAATGACTAAGTAACACAATTAGTTAATTTTTATGGAGTAACGCAGTATTGTAATGCATTACTTTTAATAGTGATTTTCTCCAACACTGATAATAATACAAATAATAATAATAAATGAAACATGTTTTATGTTGACAAATATCAAAAGACAAATTTTCACAGCAATCAGCTGGCTTGAAACTATTGAGTCCTGTAATATATACTATAGGACCAGATATAATCTTTGTCCACATTTTCTTTAGGAGAAATTGGGAAATGGCTTTAAACGTGGTATGGTGTGCAATATTGTGTGAATAATAGTTGCTCCAATACTTCAGACATTTTCTGTGCAGTTCTGACCTTTTTTGAGGGATAAAATCTGTGTAATTAGTTGAAGTATACTAAATGGTGTTAAATGGAATGAAGCACACTAGACATTTATTGGTTGCTAACAGCAACAAATTAGCTAAAATGTTTAAAAGACAAACACACGGGGGGCAAGGGATATATAGAACTTTGTAAACAATAGCCGTTTGAGTTCTTCAAAGCTTTTGGTCGAGATTCTGTGTAGGCCTGCCAATTAGCATGGACAGTATACAACCACAGAGCTCTAGAAGGCATAAGGGAGATTAATTTGTTTCAGAGCTGCACTAATACTGCAGATTTATTTACTGGCCAGTTCAGATACTTGCACAGTCCGTCAAGTTCAGAAAGGTCAGAATCATCTCTGAGAGCTTGTTGGCTCAGTTTACATTTTGTGTGTAGTCAAGTGTGTATTTCCGTTTATCCTCATGTCACAAGCCTGTAATGAACACTTTACAAGGAATATTTTGCTACCCATATGGTGGATCGGCATGTGTAAGTGAAAAGTGTTATATTGTTGTAGATGTCTAGCTGTGTTTCTGCAGAAGACACATACTGTTGTCATGCAGATCATTTGCTTCTCTGCCATATGGGTACCAAACTTAAAATCTCACTGAAGACTCTTTGGGATGCAAATATTTCTTCCCTTATTCTTTTTTTTCCCCTTGTTTTTTCCCCTCACCACCTTAAATACAATTCCCTCCACCTCTACTTTCCTCGGTCACCATTCACTCTGTAAGTATTCTCTCTCCCTGCACGTCTGTCTGTCTACGTTTTGGGTTGTTTGTTTGTTCGAATGATCTCCAGTCCCTCACTTGCATTCCGTCTCTCATCCCTGTGAAGTCTTTTCCATTAGGGATTGGTAATATTCTGTGAGGCCTGTGCTTCTGTATTTGTGTTGAATCTTCTTGTGTGTGTTGTTTTATATGGATGGGAGTTCAGTGCTGTTTTTGACTGGTTTTGCTTTAGATTTGAAAGGCAATATATCAATATCTGTGTCGTTTCTAATAATACAGAGTTTTAAAGTGTTTTCTGTGGTTATTCAATATCTCATTTATATAAATACAGATGCTTAATATTGAGTGTTGTGGCTTGTGTTAAAGTCATTTCCTTCTGGGCTGTTTTGTGAGCGTTATATCTTTCTTACTGATGCCCCCTTAACACCTAGCATTGCATTAGCATTAGCATTACTTAGGTTGAGTTCCAATGTTTGTAGTGATTGAATAGAGATGTGTTTACCTATATTAAATAATTTCACCAGTAAAGGACGTTAATATGGTCTAGAAGGGAAGAAAATCAAGCAAAAAAAAAAAAAAAAGTGAAAGTGTCTGTGTGAAAATAGACTAGAAGAAGCATTAGTGAGGATTTGGGAAGCAAAACAAGAGATTCCAAATGCAGTTCAGAGGAGTAATGCATTGAATATTGTTCAAATCAGGTGATGAGATCTACTTTTAGGACCTGCTAAAAGTAGGTCATGTTCATGATCACAAAGCATCTTGGGTGCACTTACAGCTGGTTTTTGATGTGGATTGTGTGATCACTGAAAATGCATACTAATGTTAGATGTAAAGGGGGCCTGATTGTACTACTATGTGCTGTTATATCTCAAGCTTTTCCAAATATATAATCTTGACATACTCTCCCTACAGACAATCACTGCAATCCAGCAACCAAGAGCAAGACAAGTGAGGACATTGTCCAATCTTCCAAATTCCCATCAGCCTACTCGCCTGAACACTACCAGCACTCAGAGTCTGATTACTACCATTACACCAGCTCTCCTAAATGTAAGTGATGAATGTATTCTTAATGTCCTATGCGTTCAGTTCACTGGCCTCACAGCGCTTTCCTGTCCTTCACACCAGCCACAATCATTCCAAAAGTTTCCAAGTACAAGGATGTCAATAAAGATCCTATAGTCTCTGAATGTGGAAACAGTCAATGTGACTAAAATACATTTAGTACAGGGCTGTCCAAACTCGGTCCTGGAGGGCCAGTGTCCTGCAGAGTTTAGCTCCAACCCTAATTAAACACACCTGAACCAGCTAATCAAGCTCTTACTAGGCATAGAAACTTCCAGTCAGGTGTGTTGAGGCAAGTTGGAGAGCTAAACTCTGCAGGACACCGGCCCTCCAGGACCGAGTTTGGACAGCCCTGATTTAGTATGTCATAACAATAATGTATTTGTTTTGTGTTGCTGATAGCCAAGCGCACAACCCAGGAGAATTCCAACACACAGTCTTTAATAATAAATACAACACACCATAAACCGCAAACAATACTGGACAGCAAAGTGACTAAAACAGAGGGCTTCCCTGCAAACAAGCCTGCACTGGCCCTTTACGGGCCCACTTAGGGCTAGCCTAAGGGCCCCCAGCGGGCTGCCAGTGCAGGGCCTCTGAGATGTTGCTCATTGGCAAAACGTTGGCCCCTTAGTGCTGGCCCTGCATGGGCAGCCCTCACTTAGCCCCCAGGAATCCCTCACTAGGCCCACACTATTAATCTACAACAGGGGTGCCCAATTCTGGTCCTGGAGATCTACCTTCCTGCAGAGTTCAGTTCCAACCCTGATCAAACACACCTGTCTGCAATTATCAAGTGCTCCCTCAGATCCTAATTAGTTGGTTCAGCTAATCCCAACTAATTAGGATCTGAGGGAGCACTTGATAATTGCAGACAGGTGTGTTTGATCAGGGTTGGAGCTGAACTCTGTAGGAAGGTAGATCTCCAGGAACAGGGTTGGGCACCCCTGATCTACAACAGTACATCTGTTTCACGTTAAATACTTTTCAGATACTATAACTTAAGTCTTTGGGAAAAACAGTTATACACATCTGAAATGGATGCAGTCACCACATAACTAATGTCTATATTGTCAAAAACATACAGTAGTCAAAGGGATTTCAAATCAATAGATTTATTAAAGGGGTCAAAATGCTATTTTAAAGATCATTATTTTGTGTATTTGGTGTAACAGAATATGTTGACATGCTTTAATGTTCAAAAAACAC